CTTTCTAATCTCCAGTGAGGCCAAAACTGATCTTATGAGCTCACGAGTTGATCTAGAAAACACATTTGTAATAAATATTTTCTATGCTCTTCAATGACAATTAAAAAATGGACACTATATAACTAAGATGGGATTGATCTTTTGAGCTTATAAATTGATCTAGAAAACACGTTTGTAATAAATATTTTCCATGCTCTTCAATAACAATAAAAAACGAACACTAGGTAACTAATTAAGATGGGAGTAGAAGGCCAATAAAAACATCTAGTGTCTAGCACCACCTTGTGGTACAACATTCAAATCCTGAGCCCTTGCAAGGACCCCAAGATTAAACCTTCTTGAAAAAGAGTTGGCTCGTGAGCTGCTCTACCATTTTGATGTAACAATATACTTTCTGGAGAAATACGAAATAATAGAAATAACTAGCACTTGACTGGTACTTTATTGTAAACCAAGCGTTCCCATCTGAATGATCTCACTTAATCCTGGCAGTAGCCCTGCCAGGTACTAGGTACTAAGATCTCAGTCTTAGACATGTGAAGTCTGAAGTTCAAAGAAGTTGGTAGTTTGCACTGGGCAAGTCCTGCACTTGAACCCATTTATTCATATTCCCATTATTCATATTCCAAATCCTGTAATAAGATTGTATTAGCACTACTGTATGGAGTGTGTGTGTGTGTGTGTGTGTGTATATATATATAATCACTATACTACATGTATTAATATATGTGAAAAGTTCAAAAGAAACATATAGTACTATATAGGATATTTTAATATAATATAGTATTTATACTATTTTTTATAGTACTGTTAGCCAGCACTCATTACGTTTCTGGGGCTGTTTTCCGGCTGTGAAGACAAGGCAATATTGGTTGACTCTTTGTAGTCTATATGATTCCACAGAGCTTGCTACTAAACCAACCATGGTCTTGCTTTCCTGGTCCCTAAGCACCCAAACTGTGGGAGAACCTGATCCTCTGTTGTCTTAATTTAGGGTGCACTGATGGAAATGTGGCCAGGGAGAATGAACACAAGGACCTAGAGGCAGTGAGACTGAAGCCATTTTTATGTTTGGCCTTTAAAATGCTTATGAACCAATCTACTGACTCATAGTTAAAATACTGATGGACTGGGTCACCTCATTAATTTAATAAGAAGTACATTTTACAATCAATATATCTTAAAGTTGGCAGCTGCCTGGCCCACTTCCAACCCTGGCCCACCCATGAAAAAGTAAATCTTAGTTATATATATACGTATATATACATATATATACGTAATCTAATATATATATGTGTATATATACATACATGGAATTAGATTATGGAATTAGAATTTGGGGCCCTAATGACTCCTGTGGGCAGACACAACTCCAAGTTGTGTTTGGAGAAAACTGCTGGCCCCATTCACAGGTATACGCCCAGCCAACTACTGGCAAAGAGGCCTTCATCAACCTGTTTTGCTTTCTTTGAAGTCATTCTTGTCTCTTGGCCAGTCTGCCCAATAGCTACCCTTCTAAGGGACAATAACCTAGACCTCCTGGTTCCTAGATTCACAACAAACCCTCCACTGAGAATACTATTAATGGAAAACTGACAGAAGGACCAACAACCTGTTAGTCTTCTAGGGATTCTAAAACCCACCTAGACCATCTCCTTTCAGCCCTCTTCATCTACTTATTTGATAGTCCCTTGGGGGTTATATCTATGTTAAGCTATATTATCAGAAACAATGCTTTGATACTTGTTTTTATTACTGGTAATGCTGTTAAGTTTGCTGTTGTGTCCTATTTATGGGAACTAGAGGGAAAGTTTCCTTAGATCTCCAGATTAGGAGTAGCTGCCTCAGGTTTATTGCATGGAGTCTGAACTTGATCTTGTTTCCTTCTTTACGCTGACCACTAGGAAGCAAAATCTGTTATTTATCCTTAAGTGTAAAAGACCTGTTGTAATGCAGTTTGTGTGGATAAGGTTATTTTCCTGGCCTCAACTTTTTTTTTTCTGTTAGCCCAATTTCCCTACTTAAAATCGTGTAATTTTTGTATTTTTGTAAGTTGTCCTCAAACTCTTTTGGGGAGAATTTTTAAAATAGAAGAAAAACTACTCAAACTACTCTCTGGTGTTAGACTTCAGAATAGAGAATACCTTGCGGGGACAGTGACTAGAATGAGACACAGGGGTGGGGTGGGTTCTGGGGTGCCAGTCATGCTGGACGTGTCATACATCACTGTGATGTCAGTGAGCTAAATACTTATGATTTGTGCACTTTTCTGTATGCATGTTAAACTTCTATGTTCAAAAAATGAAGACTGAGGGAAATACTTATGTGTCATATATATGTACTTCCTTTAATCCTCTGAACACTTTTAAGTTAGTAGTTATCCCCATCATAAAAATGAAGAATGGGAGGTTCAAACAGGTTAAGGAATAAGGCCAAAATTCCAAATGACTTCTGATAACAAAAGCACAGGCTTATCCTACTACACTACACAGCTCCTTGCTTTTTTTTTTTTCCCCCAGTTGGACACGGGGTCTCGCTCTGCACCCAGGCTGTAGTATGCAGTGGCATGACAATGGCTCACTCGATTGCTGCAGCCTCCAACTCCTGCGCTCATGCAATCCTTCAACCTCAGTCTCCCGAGTAGCTGGGACTACAGGCATATACCACCTCACCCGGCTAATTTTCTTATTTTTGCATAGAGATGGGGTCTTGTTACATCACCCAGGCTCTCACTTTTCTACTTTAAATGGCCTGTCTTTATCCAGCTTAGCCACTAAAATCCAAGAAACACTGGTCAGACCTAGTAGGGACACAACTGAAAGGACTTCCCTGAGGGTGCAGTGGGCAGCGTCTGGGGCTGTAGCTGGCTGTGCGATTCATTTGGTGGAGGGGGCTTTGGGAGAGAGCACTGGACTGAAAGTGGGGAGCCTGAGGCTGCTTCTGGACAGGGCTGGACTCTCACTGGGAGAAGACCCATGAGGACCCCTATAGGTCTACCTTCTTTACAAGTTCCATCAGCCCCTCCCAAGAAGTTGAGAACAGATGGCAGAATCACAACACCCAGCAAGCACAGATTGAGCCCTGCTGCCTGCCCCTCTTCTCTTCAGGAGCCAGGAGGATTTATTCTGATTGTACAGAACCACTATGACTATCATCCAACCCCTTCACACTGGGACCCCTCCTCCAGATGTGGTTGGAGTTGGAGGGCCCAGGCCTGCTGCATGTGCAGCCCAGTCACATACTCAAGACAGTGTTCTCACATTCTGCAGAAAGGCGAACAGAAAGGCTTACAGGCTTAACTCTTGGGAGCAGAACAAAATCACCTGGATTTTACTTCATAAAGGAAACGTTATTAAAAGGCAATGATTGGGAAACAGGTCAGCAGACCAATTTAGGGATTTCCCCATATTCCACAACACTAGCTACGTGATTTTGAACTCATCATTTGCCCCTTGCTACTGCTTCCTCATTTCCCAGTAGGGAGTTGGAACGTCCATTCTAGAGCCCCTCTCAACTCTGAAATTCTAACTCTAGACACCAGCCATCTTCTCAGAGAAACAGCACTGGACAAATGGGGCAGAGGGGAGGACAGGTGATGACCATCCCCTCTCTCTCCCAGGGCAAACAGTGTGACAAGGAACTGGCCCAGAGATAAAGGGTCTCAACAATCAGGTAGGGAGCCATGGAGGGTTATTGAGCACAGATAGAGCAAAAGTGGTATTTGTGGAACACTGGTTTTGAAGAAATACGTAAATGAACTAAAGGGGAGACCAACGGGCAAATATGACACTGGAAAAAGAAAACAGAACAATCCTTTAGGCTAGAAATACATATGAGGGTCTTATTTTAGTCTACCTGGCCTCATTTTTACTCCATGGTTGTCTGACATGTTGCCTGGAGGAACACTACAGTCACATGAGTAATGACAAGAATCTCTTTACGTGCTACAGGGTCCTTAGGCTTTTCTTTGCGGAATTTTACAGTGAACAATATGGCTAAATTATGTTATTCTATAAAACTTTCACTACTTTTCAGGCCTTGAAGTTTTATTTACATGTCTCTCACACACATACACTTTCTATTTTTTAACACAAAAAGTACATAGTAGTCCCCCCCTTTTCTGCGGGTGGTATGTTTCAAGACCCCCAGTGGTTGCCTGAAACTAAGATGGTACCAAACCCTAAAAAAAAAGAACAATTTTAACAATATACTGTAATAAAAGTTATGTGAATGTGATCTGTCTTTCCAATTTTTTTTTTTTTTTTGAGACAGACTTTTGCTCTGTCGCCCAGGCTGGAGTGCAGTAGCGTGATCTCAACTTACTGCAACCTCCGCCTTCCAGGCTCAAGCCAACCTCCCACCCCAGCTGGGACTACAGGCACATGCCACCACACCTGGCTAATTTTTGTATTTCTGTAGAGACAGGGTTTCACCATGTTGCCCACACTGGTCTTGAACTCCTGGTCTCAAGGGATCTGCTGGCCTCGGCCTCCCAAATAAAAACATCTTATTTCTTAAGATATTTTCAAAATATCTTAAGAAAAGTAACTGACTGCAGTTGAAAACAGTTGAAAATATATCTTAAGACATATTTTCAAAATATCTTAAGAAAAGTAACTGACTGCAGTTGAAAACAGGTAATTGAAATTGTGGCAAATGAAACCATGATAAAGAGGTACTACTCTATATGCCCATCAAAAAAAATTAAGGGCCAGGCATGATGGCTCACATCTGTAGTCCTAGCTACTCAGGAGGCTGAGGCAGGAAGATTGCTTAAGCCCAGGGGCGTGGAGGCTACAATCAGCTGTGATCACACCACTGCACTCCAACCTGCGTACCACAAGATCCTGCCTCAAAAAATATATAAAGTAAAAAGAGTGATTTTATTTATTTATGAAACATGGTCTCACTCTTGTCGCCCATGGAGTGCGATGGCATGATCTCGGCTCACTGCAAACCTCCGCCTCTTAGGTTCAAGTGATTCTCCTGCCTCAGCCTCCTGAGTAGCTGGGATTACAGGCACCCGCCACCATGCCCAGCTAATCTTTTTGTATTTTTAGTAGAGACGGGGTTTCACTATGTTGGTCAGGCTGGTCTCGAACTCCTGACCTTAGGTGATCCCCCAACCTTGGCCTCCCGAAGTGCTGGGATTACAGGCATGAGCCACCACGCCCAGGCAAAAGAGTGATTTTAAATTATCCTCTTCAAGGGGAGGTATGAATGCCAATCTCATGAAAGGTCAGGACTTATGATCCAGGCCCAGGATCACAGGAGATGGGTTCTTAAGAGGCTTTAGAAATTTGCTCTGAAGGAAAACTCTCGGCACACACAGGCCTTCTTTTTTATTCACCGTCTCTCGAAACACATACTCGTTTACCACTTCTTCATAACCTGTGTCCATAAAGAGCTGAGCCAGGAATTCTGTAAGACAAGCATCAACAACGCTCAAAAGTCTTCATAACATTACATTTGCTTTGCAGTCCTTGAGGAGGAGGGATAGGGGCTGAGGCTATGTTAATATTTTTTAAAATGAAAACCTCAATGCTAAAATTTAAAGGTTTTGATTTGGGACTAATACACTCCTTCTCCTCTTCTACCCAAACAGAAACCTTCAATTAAACAATTTAATCAGAACAAGGTGAAGGACAACTCGGTGTGCGCATCTTGCCTTATTATGAATTCTCAAATACAAAAGCCCAAGTAAAAAGAAACAATTCCAAATTGACTATATTCCTTTTTTAAAAAATTAAATATATATATATATTTTTTGTTTTTGTTTTTTTTTTGTGAGACAGAATATTGCTCTGTCACCTAGGCTAGAGCAGTGGTACGATCTCAGCTCACTGCAACCTCCGCTTCCTGGGCTTAAGAGATTCTCCTGCCTCAGCCTCTTAAGTAGCTGGGACTACAGGCACACACCACCATGCCTGGTTAATTTTTTTGTGTTTTTAGTAGAGACAGGGTTTTGCCATGTTGGCTAGGCTGGTCTCAAACCTCTGACCTCAAATGATCCACCCATTTTGGCCTCCCAAAGTGATGAGATTACAGGCGTGAGTCACTGCACCCAGCCAATTATATTCCTTTGTAAAATTTTTCTTATTGTTTCCCATCTCTGAACAAAAACATAAAAATTGGCTGTATTCCTACAAGGTCTGCATGTGTTCAATTTGTTTACATCAAACATCTTATTCATCCTAACACAAAGGAGGAAAATTTGTGATTGGAGTGGAGAAAAACACCCAATGGTGACCTAGCTCCGGGAAAATCTAACCCAAATAATACATCACTACACATGAAATGAAACAAGTAGAATAAATGGCTAGGCAGCAAAAATAAAGACTCTTACTAAGAGCACTGCTCCAGAGAACATGCTCTGAAGCACTTTGCAGATATCACTGCATCTTCTCAATATTTACAATTGGTTTAAATTTTATGAATTAAGATATCTTTTAATTTTTAACCTATTTTGACAATTTTGCAGTTTTTTTGTTTTGTTTTGTTTTGTTTTGAGATAGGCTTCTCGCCCTGTCACCCAGGCTGGAGTGCAGTGGTATGATCATAGCTCACTGCAGCCTCTATCTTCTGGGGCCAAACGATCCTCTTGCCTCAGCCTCCTAAGCAGCTGGGACCACAAGTGCATGCCACCACTCCTGGCTAATATATATTTTTTTAATTTTTAGTAGAGATAAAGTTTCACTGTTGCCCAGGCTGGTCTCGAACTCCTAAGCTCAAGTGATCCTTCCGCCTCAGACTCCCAAATAATTTTGCAGCTTTAATAGTAATCACTCGATTTTAGTTCATTCTGGTATCTAAAAGAATATTTCGTTTCAAGAAGAAAAATGTTTGTTAAAATAGAGGTTAAGGTAATTATCTTCCTATCTAGATGATTAAGTAGACTTTGTTCAAGACACCTAAAAGACTGAAACAGTGTTCCACATTTTCTTATCAAAAATGACTTTTTAAATACATCTATAGGCTAGGCATGGTGGCTCACGCCTGCAGTCCCAGGATTTTGGGAGGCTGAAGTGGGCAGATCACTTGAGACCAGGAGTTTGAGACCAGCCTGGCCAACATGGCAAAACCCCATCTCTACTAAAAATACAAAAATTAGCTGGGCATAGTGGCACACACTTGTAATCCTTGCTACTTGGGAGGCTGAGGCATGAGAATCACTTGAGCCTGGGTGGTGGAGGTTACAATACGCCAAGATCACGCCACTGCACTCCAGCCTGGGCGACAGAGTAAAACTCTGTCTCAAAAATAAATAAATAAATAAACACCTCTTTACAGCAAATTTGCATATTTATTTAAAAACAGATCCAGGCCAGGCATGGTGACTCACACTTGTAATCCCATCACTTTTGGAGGCCGAGACAGACAGATCACTTGAGCTCAGGAGTTTTGAGACCAGCGTGGGCAACATGGTAAAAACCCCGACTCTACCAAAAATACAAAAAATTAGCCAGCCATGGTGGCATGTGTCTGTGGTCCCAGCTACTCAGGAGGCTTTGGTGGATCACTTGAGTCTGGAAAGTGGAGATTGCAGTGAGCCGAGATCACACCACTGCATTCCAGCCTGGGTGACAGAATGAGACTCTGTCTCAAAAACAACAAAAAAACCAAACCCCAAAACAGATCCAATCATTTCTATAGAAAAAGGTTTCCTGACTTTGTGCCATGGGAAAGTAATCTCAAGGCACTATATTGTCGAATTTGCTTTATTTTTAAGTGGACAAGGAGAAGTTTCTGACTTGCCTTCCCTCTTATTCCATCACAATTCCTAGTAGGGCATCCACATGGCATGTCAGAAGCTGTCCATTAACCCAAGCTCACTAGGAGAGTCACTGACACCAGAGAAGGCTTGTGAGCTCTTCAAGGGCAGAGGCCAGGTCTGTGCCTTCCAGGTGCTGTGTAAGTATTGTACAGTAGAGGGCTTGTTTCAGGGTCTCATGCACATGTCACAAGCCTTCTCCGAGTAGCCTTGCAGTGATAATGCAATCAAATAAACAGAAACAAAGAATAAAACATTTAAAGACTGGATTCCATTCATCTTACCATCAGTAAAAAAATATGATCTGGTCCCATCTTGTCTAACATAAAAGTTTTCTCCAAGTTTGCTGCCGGCTTTAAACCTAAGCATGGCATGATCATACAGCCCGTAGTCACGAAACAAGACACTTTTGCCTGGTTTTAATACCTATGAAACAAAAGCAGGCTGAATATGACTTTGGAGAACTCTATCAAAATAAAACCTGATTAAGTAAGGACTTAAAATAAATTTGTGATAATTATTAAGGGGACAGACTGAAATGCCCATAATATGAAACCAAAATGGCCTACCAGTTAAACACATAGTAAGACTGGGCAGGGCTCCATAACACTAAGACTCTTTTTTTTTTTTTTTTGAGATAGAATCTTGCTCTGTCGCCCAGGCTGGAGTGCAGTGGCATAACCTCAGTTCACTGCAACCTCCGCCTCCCATGTTCAAGTGATTCTCGTGTCTCAGTCTCCCGAGCAGCTGGGATTACAGGCACCCGCCACCATGCTCTGGTAATTTTTGTATTTTAGTAGAGATGAGATTTCACCATGTTGGCCAGGCTGGTCTCGAACTCCTGACCTCAAGTGATCTGCCCACCTCAGGCTCCCAAAGTGTTGGGATTACAGGCGGAGCGACCTCGCCCGGCCCTGAAGACACTTCTTAAGTACCTCCAAGAGCACCCTGGAATGTCCAATGTCACAGGATTAAAATGTTAGAGACCAATCTGGGCAATATAGTGAGACCCCATCTCTATAAAAAATTAAAAATTAGCTGAATGTGGTGGTACATCCTGTAGTCCCAATTACTTTAGAGGCTGAGGTGGGAGAATTGCTTGAGCCCAGGAGGTTGAGGCTGCAGTGAGCCACATCCATGCCACTGCACTCCAGCCTGAGTGACACAGCAAGACTCTGTCTCAAAAATGAATAAATAAAGTGTTAGAGACAATAAATGAAAGTGTTATCCTCATCGAAGCATTTTCTTGCAACATTTTATTCACCATTTCCTAGTATTCAAACTGTATTCAACTGCCTCTTAAAAAAAAAAACAGAATGTTGTTTTGGGTTTTTACTGATTCAGGTTGGTTTTCCTTATTCTGAGTCTCAGCTCTCATTTCACTGTGCCACAATGTACATAGCTCAATCACAGTACCAATAACTGATCTATGCCTAGCATTTGACAGCTCAACCATACATTTTCTCATTGTATCATCACCCAATTGTGGGACAAAGAAATGTGATTATTATTCTTACCTGAGATAAGGAAACCAATACTCAAAAGGGTTAAGTGATCTGCCAATGATCATACATTAGCCTTTATTTAGAGACAAGGTCTCGCTATGTTGGCCAGGCTGGTTTCGAACTCCTGACTTCAAGTGATTCACCTGCCTTGGCCTCCCAAAGTGCTGGGATTACAGGCATGAGCTACTGCACCTGGCCCAACTGTGTACTCTCGACCACTGAACCATAACTCCTCTCACCTTATGGCAGGACTCCATGGATCCCAGGTAACTGCAAAATCATCTTTGTCTTAGGGCTGGCAAAGCTCTGAAGAGCAGCCATGGCACTGCACAAATCAGAATTTAGGGTGGATGTTTTATGCCAGAGAACCCCTTTCTATACACTGACTACACAGCCTACCTAGTGAGAATGGAGAGACTATGTGAATCTAGACAGTACATGAGCCTCATTAGGGAAGGTAAGTAAAAGAATCTGTACTGTCCAACCCTCAAGTACAGGCCCCAAATTACTAACCTTGTAAATGTTTTCTAAGACAAGGTGCATCTTCTCAGGATGAACAGCTGAGAGCACAAATATCAACATAACAACATCCACAGACCCTGGTGGTACGTGATCCAGAAGATCATCTTTGGTCAGATCACACTGGAATACCTTGCATCTTCCTGTGTCATATAAAGGATTTTGCTAGAGTGGAAAAAACACAAATGAATTTTAATGCGACCACTATGCTGATACATTTGGAAAAATACAACATCAAAAGGCGATCCTATTTCCTATACATAGAAATGATCACTTTGTTACCAGATAAAACTGATTAATAAATCACTGACATATAACGCATGTAATAGTCACTACTGCTACAAGGGGCAAAACTTTAATAAATCATTTTTAGCTGAGGAGAGAATAAGAGTATTACGTATTCAAAACTGAGCATTTTAGTAGCACGTTATTTCCAAAGGGATAATGATTCAAAACTGGCCTCTGCTTGTTTCTTTCTTTTTGTTTTTTTAAAGGGACAGGGACTCACTCTGTCTGCTGGGCTAGAGTGCAGTGGCATGATCATGGCTCACTGCAGCCTTCACCTCTTGAGCCCAAGTCATCCTCCCACTTCAGCCTCCTGAGTAGCTGGAACTACAGGTGCGCACCCCTGCATCTGGCTAAATTTTTATTTTTATTTTTGTGAAGATGGGGTCTTGCTATGTTGTCCAGGCTAGTCTTGAACTCCTGGCCTCAAGTGATCCTCCCACTTCAGACTTCCAAAGTGCTGGGATTACAGGCGCAAGCCACCATGTTCTGCTGGCCTCTGGCTTCCTTAATCCTCCTTTGAATAATCTATTACAAGCCTAAACCCTCTGAGAAGCCCTTCTAATTCCCCTTGTTGAAATGCTCCCACAGTTCTTCTGGGGTATAATTTCTCTTTATGCAGCAAGCTAAATAAACTTAACCTTTTTTTGACTACAAATGTGTTCCTGGTACATTTTGGTTGGTAGGCTTCAACACATGTTTACGAGTATTATGAAGAAAAATATTAAACTTTTCTTTCATGTAAATGAGGACCTGAATAAATAGATATACAAAGTTACTGGATGGGAAAATTAAATGCAAAATTAAAAAGATGTCAATTCTATTCCTAATTCCATTTGTAAATCCAATGCAATCTCAACTGATTCCCAATAGATTTCTAGAAACTTGACAGGGTGAATCTAATTAATCAGAAAGTAAAAATCTTTAAGAACAGTCAAGTCAATTTTTAAAATGATGAACAATGAAGTAGGTATGGTGACTCATGCCTGTAATCCCAGCAACTTGGGAGGCTGAAGTGAAAGGATCGCTTGAGTTCAAAGCTGCAGTGAGCTATGATTCGTGCCACTGCACGCCAGCCTGGGCAACAGAGCAAGATCTCATCTTTAAAAAATAGGCCAGGTGCAGTGGCTCACGCTTGTAATCCCAGCACTTTTCGAGGCCAAGGTGGGTGGATCATGACGTCAGGAGTTTGAGACATGCCTGGCCAATATGGCGAAACTCCGTCTCTACTAAAAAAATTAGCCGGGTGTAGTGACCCATGCCTGTAGTCCCAGCTACTCGGGAGGCTGAGGCAGAAGAATTGCTTGAACCTGGGAGGCGGAGGTTGCAGCGAGCCCAGATCATGCCACTGCACTCCAGCCTGGGTGACAGAGTGAGACTCTGTCTCAAAATAAATAAATAAATAAATAAATAAAATGGAATGAAGAATAATAAAGAAGATTCACTACTGGACATCAAAATATATTACAAAACGTAGTAATAACACGGTTTGAGAATGGAGACAAACACATCACCGAGACAAAATAGAGTCCCAAAACAGACCTGTGTATACTGTATATATAAACAGGAATTTTGTATGTTATATGATAAAAGATAGACAAAGGTGACAATTAGATAAAAAGGTAGACAATAAAGATGACAATTATGAATGAGGAAAAATTAATTTCTCATTCAATTTACTGTGTTCAGAAGAACTGGCTACCTATTTGAACTAAAGGACAAACGACTACCCTTGAGACACAGGCACACAGTACCAGTTCAAATTTGGAGAAGCAGAACATTAGAGAACAACCCCTCTCCCACACGCCACCACCAAGTCTCCAAGAATAACAGTCCACTGCAGCTGGAGCTCCGAGCCATAACAGACAGTTTCTTTGGGAAACAGTACAAAGAGAAGACCCAAATCCAAGAGAGGAGACAAAAACAAGTTGCTAGAGGAGTTTGAAGTCTCTGGTGCCCACAGCAACAACAAACCTCACAGACAGCAACAGACTTCAAACAACAGCCCAATTCCTGACTAGACTGTTACAAATCCCTGTCCTTCAGTATCTACTGGCCCTTATGTCTAGCTTTAACCAAAAAGTAGAAAACATCCCAGAAGGCAAGAAAAAACACAGTGTGAAGAGAATAAGCCATCACCAGAGCCAGACTCAAATATGACAGATGTTGGATCCAAAAGCTTGGGCATTTAAAATAATTATGATTAAAACGTTAAAGATTCTAATGGAAAAAACAGACAACATGCAAAATCAGACACATAATTGCAGGGATGGAAATTATAAAAAGACTCAAAGAGAAATGCTAAAAACCAAAAACATGGTAACAGAAATGAACACTTTCAATAGGTTCCTCAACAAAACATGTACTACCTAGGAATGAGTCAGTGAACTTGATGATAGGATAATAGAAATCACACAAACTGAAAATGCAAAAAGGAAAAAAGTGGGGGAAAAAACCCTAAAACAACAGCATATAAGGGCTGTGGGGCAATAGAAAATGTTACACACGTAACTGGAATCCCAGAGGGAGAAGAGAGAACAAGAGCTAAAGAAAGAATTCAAAGAAATAATGACCTTAATTTTTCCAGATTAAAAAACATAACCAAAATTATAAAATAACTATATAACCAAAAATTATTAAGAGCAATATATAGGTGATTACGTCTAAATCTTAGGAATAGCTGGGCGCGGTGGCTCATACCTGCAATCCCAGCACTTTGGGAGGCTGAGGCAGGAGGATTGCTTGAGCCCAGGAGTTTGAAAGCAGCCTGGGCTAACGAGACCTCATCTCTAAGAAAAATAAAGTAAATCCTAGGAGTAAAGGACTCCTAAACAAGGCATAAAATAGAACTTCAAAAGGAAAAGATTAGTATTTTGCCATGATAATTTAAATCCTGTGTAGCCTGGGCAACATAGCAGACCCTCATCTCTACAAAAATTTTTAAAAAATTAGCCAGGCATGATGGTGCAAGCCTGTGGTCCCAGCTCAGGAGGCTGAGGATCGCCTGAGTCCGCAAGGTCGAGGTTGCAGTGAGCTGCGTTTGTACCACTATACTCCATCCTAGGTGACAGAGTGAGACCTTGTCTAAAAAAAAAAAAAAATCCTTGTGTAAAAAAAAGATACTGTAAAGTGATGCTGAATACACTGGAATAACTGTTTGCAACACATATACCAAAACATCTAGAATGTATCCTGAAAATAAGAAAGAAAATGACAAACCAATAGAAAAGTAGGCAGAGGTTATGAATAGACAGCTCCTACTATAAGCTCCACGTGGGTGGGAATTTTTGTCTGTCTGTTCACTGTTTAACTCCAGTGCTTAGAACAGTGATTGGCACACATTAAGCTCTCAGTAAACAAATGTGGACTAAAGGAACTCACAGCTAACTAATGCTATCGACCTTCCACAAGGCCTTCAACCTCTCTGGTGATAAGAAAATAATAAATTAAAATATGGAGACATTATTTTTTGCCCAAAAGATTGGTAAATATAAAAAAGACGGATATCAAGTGTTGAGGCAATAAAAAAAAAAAAAGGTACCTTTATATTATTGGTGAAATTATAAATTAGTACGATCTTTTTGGAAGGAAACTTGGCATTGTCTATTAAAATATAAATGTACATGCTCATCTTCCAAGGAATTCTACTTCTTCCATTATTCTTCATAGAGACGAATGCATACACACATTTTGGGAACATATGTATGATGCTGATCATATTAACCCTATTGTAAGAGCAAAAAATTAGAAACAATCCAAATAAATATCAATAGGGTAACTGTTTCTTTTGTTTGTTTTTGTTTTTTTGTGATGGAGTCTCGCTCTGTCCCAGGCTGGAGTGCAGTGGCGCGATCTCAGCTCACTGCAAGCTCTGCCTCCCAGGTTCGTGCCATTCTCCTGCCTCATTTCTCCTGAGTAGCTGGGACTACAGGCGCCCACCACCACGTCCGGCTATTTTTTGTATTTTTAGTAGAGACGGGGTTTCACTGTTTTAACCAGGATGGTCTCGATCTCCTGACCTCGTGATCTGCCCACCTCGGCCTCTCAAAGTGCTGGGATTACAGGCATGAGCCACTACACCCGGTCGGGTAACTGTTAAATAAAGTATGGTATATCCATTCTATGGAATACTATAACAGGTAAATAAAATCTACATGTACTAACATGAAAACTCTGCAAAATAAAATAATGTAGAATGAGGAAAGCATGTTATAGTAAATATGATACCACCATTTAAAAAAATCTGTGTATATAGTGGGCAGACTTAAGTCCTTATTTAAAACGTCTAAACTTTCTAGATGTTTAGAAGTGCACAAAGTATGTTAAAAGCAGGGTAGTAAATAACACATTTTGTATATATCCTTTTGTTAAAATTCACTGAAATATTACCTTTTGGAAATGGAATGATCAAACCACTTCTCTAATCAGTACATATCATTACATTTGTACTGGGTCAGGAGAAAAGGAGGAGAATAAAGTGCAAAGGGCCTTATACCAATGTGTTTATAGCGAGGCAAGATTGACCACTGTACCTGATGTCCATGCATTTTATTTTACTTTGCTATGTACACAGTGTATATGAAGGACAAATGAGTCCTCATTTACAACATCTAGTTCTAGATGTTAAAGAGGTTGACAGTGTATGATCAAAGTAGAGTCAGTAACCTAATACACTGAATACACTTTGTGTTCAAATTCACAGGAAAGACTGTTCTTAAAAACACTCAGGGAAGTGAAATTGTTAAAATCCCCTCTAAGCATTACAGATGCTTATACCTATCCACTGAGTTGATAGAGGCAGGGTTCTATGCCAGAATGTTCCTATTTAGATGGCACTTTCAAATGACAGCTTATTATGTACGTGTACCATTTATTCAATGCTATGGTATATATAGTGGAAAACTTAAGTCCTATTTGAAACATCTAGTCTTTCTAGACATTTAAAAGTACACAACATATGTGTACTTCTGGCATCGTAGAGGGCTGAAGTAACAAAAGTAGAGGACTAATGTAACATCCTTTAAGCAGTTTCTGTTATTTCATAGGATTGGTTGCATTTTGGGAATGGAATTGTTAAAACTGATGTCTTAGAGGGTATGCTGACTGTTCACTGGGTGGTAGTGGGCGGGGGGGAGGAGGAAGTATGCAGAGAGAAGGGTTCTGTGCCCTTAAGTCACATTAGTTCAGGTTGTCTAGCCATCGTTCTATATGTGCATTTCAGTTAATACTGCTGTGTATTAAAGGATAAACAAGTCCCTGATGCTCAATGTATGCTAAAAGTAGAGGTAGTAAAATAATCCCTTTTTCAGTTCTTAGGAAGGACTATCCTCTTGGAATGACCGTTGTTAATTGACTTCTTGGAACTAGATATAGTCCTGTACTTAGTCATTAGAATGGTAGAAGAGGATGAAGAAGAAGGGGTGGAGGGAAGGGATCCTTGCCAGAATCTCCATATCTAGAAGATGTTTTTAGATGATAACCACAGGTCTATAGGTGCATTTTGAGTAAAGTACCTATGTTTATTGTGGACAGAGTTCATTATTTTGAAAAACCTAAGCTTCATAGATGTCTTGATGTGACAACATATAATAAAAAGCAGAGCTACTCCATAACTATATACATCTACTATGCACCCACAAAATTATTTTAAAAATAGGGCTAGTGAATTTGCCAATTTGTAAATATCTTTTTGTTATAATTGATAGAAAAGATGCATGCTGGACATGGAATTGTTAAACCACCTCTGAGCAATGTATATATTGGGACTTGTTCATTAGTTTGGCAGCAGATGAGTAGAAGAAAATATAAAGAGACAGATGTATGCAGATGTATTCATATTTACATTTTGACAATAGCCACTAATGTATGTGAGTCTCTCTTGGCTGTACTATGGGAATACATGAAGTAATTCAATGGAAACATACCTTCTTGGTAATATTTTAGTGGCAAAGATCCCATAATAAATTTTCTTAGAAACATTACACTTAGTGTTGCTTTATTATAGAAACACTATAGAGTATGGAAACATTATACTTAGTGTTGCATTATACTCTGTTGCTTTATGTTTCATTTTAAATTGAGCATTAAGGCAATACAGTCCTCTAATGGGAACTCTGCCAATACTTCTAGCTAGAGGTTTGCTGCCATTTTTGTCTTCCATGAAATTTTTTGTCCCAAGACAGGTGGCATTATATTTTCTTCTAACAGATTGAGTTGCTGCAGGGTGTTCTTGGTTATCAAAATACTCATATAGCTTTGGGGTTTTCAATTAGTAAATATCCATAATGTGTGATAAAACATGATACATATTGCATGATCTTAATCCCATAAAATTGGATACTGTGTATATGTACACACAGGACTTAGAAGGACAAGTCAAACTGTAAACTGCTTGTGATTGTGGATGACTGTTCTTTGCTTCTTGTGTTTCTCAGTTGCCTACAGTAAACATACTAACTTCTTAAAAATGAAGGGTGTGGGTTTTGTTATTTTGTTTTTTTGAGATAGGGTCCTGCTCTGTCACCCAGGCTAGAGTACAGTGGCATGATCATAGCTCATGCAGCCTCAAATTCCGGGCTCAAGTGATTTTCCTACCTCAGTCTCCCAAAGAGCTGGGACTACAGGCACACACCACCACACCTGGCTAATTAAAAAAAGTTTTTGGCCAGGTGTGGTGGTTTATGTCTGTAATCCCAACACTTTGGGAGGCTGGTAGATCACCTGAGGTCAGGAGTTCAAAAAGACCAGCCCGTCCAACATAGTGAAACCCCGTCTCTACTAAAAATACAAAAAAAATTAGCCAGGTGTGGTAGCGAGTACCTGTAATCCCAGCTACTCGGGAGGCTGAGGCAGAAGAATCACTTGAACCCAGGAGGTGGAGGCTGCAGTAAGCTGAGATTGCACCACTGCACTCCAGTCTAGGCAACAGAGCGAGACTCCATCTCAAAAAATAAAATAAAATAAAAAATAAAGGACTTAAGTGTAAGAGGTCGTGCTTGACTGGATTCTAAACAGCTATAGGCAGGGCGTAATCCCACACTCTAAGAGGCTGAGGAGGTAGAATTGCTGAGCCCAGGAGTTTGAGACCAGCCTAGGCAACATAGGGAAACCTCATCTCTACAAAAATTTTAAAACTAGCCAGAGTCATCTGCCACGGCTTGCACCTGTAATCTCAGCACTTTGGAAGGCTGAGGTGGGAGGACTGCTTGAGCCCAGGAGTTCGAGACCAGCCTGGGCAACACAGTGAGACCTTATCTCTAAAATAAATAAATAAACAAAAAACACTAGCTGGGCACGGTGGCACATGCCTGTAGTCCCAGCTACTCAGGAGACTGAGGTGGGAAGACTGCTTGAGCCAGGGAGGTCAAGGCTGCAGTGAGTTGTGATTGTACCACTGCACTCCAGCCTGGGTGACAAAGTGAAACCATGTCTCAAACCAAAACCAGCTATAAAAGACACCTGGAAGTCAGGTGCAGTGGCTCATACCTGTAATCCCAGCACTTTGGGAGGCCGAGGCAGGTTGATCACTTGAGCCCAGGAGTTTGAGACCAGCCTGGCCAACATGGCGAAACCCCGTCTCTACTAAAAATACAAAAATTAGCCAGGAGTGGTGGTGGGCACCTGTAATCCCAGCTACTTGGGAGGCTGAGGCAGCAGAATCACTTGAACCCAGGAGGTGGAGGCTGCAGTAAGCTGAGATTGCACCACTGCACTCCAGTCTAGGCAACAGAGCGAGACTCCATCTCAAAAAATAAAATAAAATAAAAAATAAAGGACTTAAGTGTAAGAGGTAGTGCTTGACTGGATTCTAAACAGCTATAGGCAGGGCGTAATCCCACACTCTAAGAGGCTGAGGAGGTAGAATTGCTTGAGCCCAGGAGTTTGAGACCAGCCTAGGCAACATAGGGAAACCTCATATCGACAAATAACAATAACAAAAAATTAGCCAGGCATGGTGGCACACACCTGTAGTCTCTGCTACTTGGGAGGCTGAGGTGGAAGAATTGCGTAAGTCCAGGAGGTTGAGGCTGCATTGAGCCATGTTCATTCCACTGTACTTCAGACTGGGTGACAGAGAAAGACCCCGTCTCTAAAAAAAAGTAAAAAATCAAAAGACACCGGCAACTATTTGGGGAAATCTGAATTTGGAATGGATGTTAATAACACTGGGGGATTATAGTTATTTTGTTTGTTTATTTTTAAGACAGTCTCGCTCTGTCACCTAGGCTGGAGTGCAGTGCTACAGTCTTTGGTCACTGCAACCTCCACTTCTCTGACTCAAGTGATCTTCCCACCTCAGCCTCCCAATTAGCTGGGATTACAGGCAAGCACCACCATGCCCAGCTAATTTTTGTATTTTTGGTAGAGAAAAGGTTTCACCGTGTTGCCCAGGCTGGTCTTGAACTACTGGGTGCAAGCTATCCACCAGCCTCAGCTTCCCAAACTGTTGGGACTACAAGTGTGAACCAACATGGCAGGCCAGATTATAGTTATTTTTGTGAAATATGATAAACTTACTGTGGTTGTGTAGAAAAAGGCCTTCTTTTTAGGGGCGATGTATGCAAACATTTAGGAGTGAAATGTCTTGACATTTGTAATATACTTTAAAATACTAATTGTAAAGCAAAAGATGTTAATTATGGATGTTAATTACATGGATATTATGGCCTTTTTTCCTGCTTTTCTTGAATAAAGCTGTGTTTCTACATTCACTGTATATGTATGTAAGCAGGAAAACTACATGTATGGTGACTATAGCTGGTTAGCTCCAGGGAAGACTAGAATTGGACACATGGGTAAAAAAGGCAGATCAAACAAGATCGGCAAGAAAACAGAAACACAGCAGAATACGCAGATGGTGCACCAACCTTAACATATTCAACCGCTCTTGGAGAAAAATCACAGGCATAGGCAAAGATATTCGGATCTTCTTCTAAAAGTGGGAATAAACAGTTTCCAACCCCACAGCCAGCTTCAAGTATTGTTAACTTTTGATCTTCAAACTGGGGAAAGACAGCTCAAAGTTACAGCACATTACATTTGCATAATGAAGAAATAAACCAAACTAAAAGGTCCAGAATATGCGAGGTCTCTGACCCCATGAAGGAGACCATCAACAAGTGAACTAATAAGCAAAAGCTATTACTGGTACTTCATTTGTCATCCAACATTAACAGTTTGGTGTGGAGGAAAAAAACAGCACAATAGCTCCGGAATTAAACTGCCAGCACTCAAATCTCAACTCCTCCCCTGCATTCTATCCTTGGGCAAATCACTTAAACAGCTCTGTGCCTCAATTTTACCTTGGGGACAAATGAGTACAATACTAATACTTACACTTCACAGAGCCGGTATAAGGGTCAAATGATAGGACACGTAGAAAAGAGCCATGGTAAATAGTTCACTAACATGAACTATTATTATTATTATTTTGAGTATGTCACTGAAGTCACTCAGTATGAATTTATATTTTGGTTTTTAAATTTTTAATGTTTAAATTTTTAAAAATTCAGAACATATGGTCTCACTATGCTGCCTAGACGGCTAATTCACGTTGGCTATTCACAGGCACAAGCCGCCTGCCTGAGCCTCTCGATTAGCTGGTGATAGCCACCATACCTGGCTCTTGAATTTAATATATAATGTTTACAACTATCAGATCAACTTAAAGAAATAGAAAACGTCCACTAAAGTTCTCTTTCCTATATGTTAACCAAATCAGAAACTGCTAAAACTTTGACGTTAAGACCGAACAGTATATTTCTCTCCTAAAATGCAAAGCATTTTGATAGGCTTCTTTAATTCTCTGCTTCGCACTCTCCCTAGGAATGCAATACACAGCATACCTCTTCACATTTTTTTTTTCCTTTTCTTTTTTTTTTTTTTTTTTTGAGACAGAGTCTCGCTCTGTCGCCAGGTTGGAGTGCAATGGCGCGATCTCGGCTCACTGCCATCTCTGCCTCCCAGGTTCAAGCGATTCTCCTGCCTCAGCCTCCCAAGTAGCTGGGACGATAGGCGTGCACCACCACACCTATCTAATTTTTGTATTTTTAGTAAAGACAGGGTTTCATCATGTTGGCCAGGATAGTCTCAATCTCTTGACCTCGTGATCCGCCTGCCTCGGCCTCCCCAGGTACTGGGATTACAGGCATGAGCCACCGCACTGGGCCCTCTTCACATTTTAAATTAAGAACAGCTCAGATAAGGCGTAATATTAGCTTACCTCTCTACATGATCTTAGCTCCTCAAACTCTCTGGTGGTCCAGTGTCTGTCTTTGAAGAAATTAGTGCTATTTCTTTTGTAAAAAAGATCCCAGTTTTTCTGAGCCTCTTGTTCCAATTTGTGCTGTTTAAAATCAGACACCAAAGTTTGGTCTCTTTTCAGTTTCTCCTCTTCTTCAGAGCTGAGAACCCTTGCCTGCAGCCCCTTCCTTGGCAAAGAAGTCATCTCAGAAACTGAAGGTAACACTTAACACAGCTGAAGATTCTCCATCCCCAAATAATATGAATCCATGCTAATGGATCAGATGCATTTCCTCAGGTGAGTTTCACGCCTCAAACAGCACAGGGGCTTCGCAGACAAAAGAATCAGATTCTGGTTAGTGGTTCTAGAACGGTTCAAGACGCCAGGTTCAAAATTCACCAAATGTTTATGAGATGCAGACTGTACAAAAAAAAAATCCTCCCCGCTACATGAGAGGTCACAAAGAAGACAAAGACAACAGTCCCTAACTTCAGAGGGCTTAAATTCATTCAGTGGCCAGGACTATCTCATGCACCATACTTTTATTCAAACCAGATGAGTCAACTATTACAATAAATCGATTTAGTTTAGAAAAAAAAAGGACGCTCTCACGAACTGACTGGGAAACCTTGCGAAGAAAATATTACTCAATTTTCGGTGCCCGCGAAAGGGGTGACTTAAAAACCACAATGGACTTAGCTGGAAGCGGGTGGTCAATTGCCAGATACAAGTGAGGTCACCGTTTCCCAAGGGTCGGAGCTCCGTTTTTTCGGGGGAAATGAAGCTAAGCCTGGGTGGGCTCATTTCCTGACCGCACTCACAAGAGGCTGTCGTAGGAACCAGAGGGAACGTCACTTTTCAGGGACTGAGGCCCTCGCACCGCCATCACCGCGCAAAGTGGAGAAAGAGACCCAGTGACGCGTGGCTGAGGTCCCGAGGATCCATCTCAGGACACTCAGGATAGACTAGGCCGCATGGGCCCCTGGACCCTGAGGAGGGCGTCCATGATGGCTAGCCGACCCGCGTTAATCTAGTCAGCCACGCTCAGGGATCACCATCATCAGTTCCTAAATTCACCTGTAGGGGTAGGGCCAGGCGCACTCACCCTACAGCCAGCCCCAGATCTCGGAGGCAGAATATGGGAGGAATTGCGAAACAACCCTGAGCCAATTCTGAGGATCACAAATTGGGAATCTCCGGGAGGAGTTCTTTCGCCATGGCACCGCCCCCGCCACTTCCGCTAGGAACCCGGAAGTTCCTACCCGACGCCGGAAGTCCCGCGGCCTTGCCCCTTCAGATTCTTCCTTTATCCCGAGGCAGAGAACAGGACTTGCTTCTGGACCCGGGTGGGTGCCGGCTTTGCTCTCCTTGCCCCCTAGAGCGGTGTCCCGGGAGCACAGTCCTCCCAGACGCCAGCGCCGGAAGCTCCGATCGCGGCTGCGCCAGGAGAGCGCCGATCTGGGTGCGAGGCCGGTGCGGGGCCATGAATGGGACCGCGAACCCGCTGCTGGACCGCGAGGAACATTGCCTGAGACTCGGGGAGAGCTTCGAGAAGCGACCGCGGGCCTCCTTTCACACTATTCGTTGTAAGTCAGCGCTCCCCACGGTTCCCTTCGGCCGCTCAAGCCGCCACATGTCAACCTTGACTCCTTCCTTTCTTCCCTCGGCCCTTCAGATTCCAGGGAACCCCCTGCCAGCGTCAGTTACTTTCTCTCGAACCCCCAATCCTTTGGGACCTCGAGTTGGCCCTTCTTTTACCCAGATTATTTCTCCCAAATCATCGTCACTCCCTACTATCCTTCTACTTTATAGTCTCAAACACTAGTTCCAAAGGTCTTTGGCCTCGTTTTGGTTCCATCCCTCCCCTCCCCCGACGTCGCCCCTAAGGCAAACCTCCCGCCCCTAAGGCAAACCTCCCTCCCCCAAGGCAAACCTCCCCCCTCTTATCCGGGTCCACTTCTTCCTCGAAACCCCTCCCCTCCTTTCCAATGCTCCCATCAGGGTTCTCCACAGTTAAAAGACGCTTCTTGTTTATTACGACCCTCATCCACTCCCTCCGAACCCCTTCTCTTCCCTGCTTTCCTCCTCCGACTTGGTTCTGGACTCCCAGATACTGCGCTTTGTCTCCTTTACAGCCAAAGAATTGGCATCCTCTCTGCGCCTCAGAGTTTTCTTCCATCTCCTTTCTGTGCTTCATTTGACTTGGATGTCTTTTGAGGTCACCTATACCATACGGGCTTTTCCTCCAGACCAAGTTCCTTGTGGGTAAAGAGTCAAATCAGAGTTCGTGAGCCTGGGATAGGTTAAAGATTGGTCTGTGTTTGGAAGCAGAAGAGAGCAGGCGTAAGGAATGTCGAAATAGTCATTATGCCGGACCTTTTTCTACATGATTATAGACTCTGTTGAGAGTGCACTTCCACCCTATGTCCTGGGTGAAGGTTTGGCAGTTAGGAATTGGCTGACAGAGCATCCCTCCGTGATTCATGAACTTCTGGTTTCCGTGGCGCTAACGCTGTTGTTAAGACTTGTTTTTGTCAGAGGACCTGATAGATGTGACTCAACACATGTGAAGAGGGCGTCTTAGATAATGAAATCCCATCTTTGTGTAGTCACTTGCCATGCCATTACTATGCTTCCTACTGACAGCAGATCCAGCTCTTTCAGAGAGGAGATTGGGAATGAGATAAGAACATCATTTCCTGAAGAGTTTACTAAGTTGATGTTCTCTTTTGGTGAAGGGCAATGTGGAATTTAAATCATGCAGTTCATGTGTGCACCTGCCCTGCAGTTTGAGGCAGATGTGAATGTGAATTAAGATGGCTATTCATGTTGTACTCTAACTGCAGTTTAGAAACACGAGCAGGATAACTTGTGGAGATACAGTTAAGTTGTCTGCTATGAACTACAGAATTGTCTTGGTTAAAGCTGCAGAACTGGCTGAGAGTGGTGGCTGACACTATAATCCCAGTACTTTGGGAGGCCGAGGCGGGCAGATAGCTTGAGCCCAGGAGTTTGAGACCAGCCTGGGCAGCGTAGGCCCATCACTATTTTAAAAAAAAGAAAGAAAGAAAAAAAACAGCTATGGAACTTGAGTATGGCAAATCCTAATTTTGACAGTTTCTATGCAGAGTGAAATCAGCTTTTGATGATGCTGTGGCCTTTCATATTTCATAGAGTTTACAGTCACAGGATCTTTTTCATATGCTGTTACTTTTGATCCTCACAACCCTAAAAAAGCAACTTATTATGGATGATGAGATCTTAATTTTCATCTCTCCCTTGGGAGAAGGGAATATCTTTAATAAAATGGCCTGTAAATTCTTTTTTCCCCCTAGAATAATCCAAAGGGGGTCAGAGGAAAAGTTTGTAGAGGTGTAGATGAAACAGGATTGTCCCTGAGTTGGTAATAATAGAAACTGGATAATGGTACACCAGGGCTCATTGTACGATTTTCTCTACTTTTGTATATCTGAAGTTTTCCATAATGAAACCTGTTTTTAAGAATTCTGAATTATTTTTATTTTTCATTCATCTGAGTAATAAATTTAATTCTTAAATGGAGATGTCCAGGAGGCCCTTATTATAAGTAACCTGGTGGGTAAGTGTTTTCTTTCCTTTCCCTTTAGATGATTTTAAACCAGCATCTATAGACACTTCCTGTGAAGGAGAGCTTCAAGTTGGCAAAGGAGATGAAGTCACAATTACACTGCCACATATCCCTGTGAGTTTATTTCATTGTTTTTTTAAATGTAGGATCACAATGGATCTTCATCTTTTATGTTATTGCAATTTAAACTTCCTACTTTTAAAAATGTTTAGATTTCTAAAGTGGCAACATAAGGGAAAAAAGGAATTTTGGGGAGTGGGGTGGGGTGGACTTCATGCTAGGCAGGTGCTTGATTTAAAAATAATTCTTGTAATCTTAGCACTTTGGGAGGTGGAAGTAGGTAGATAGCTTGAGTTCAGGAGTTCAAGACCAGCCTGGGCAACATGGTGAAACCCCATCTGTACCAAAAATACAAAAAAATTAGCTGGGGGTGATGGCGCATGTCTGTAGTCCCAGCTGCTTGGGAAGCTGAGGTGGGAGGATCACTTGAGCTGGGAGGTAGAGGTTGCAGTAAGCCAAGATCACGCCACTGCACTCCAGCCTGGGCGATGGAGTGAGACTCCCTCTCAAAAATAAAAGATTATTCAAGATTCAAGATTATTCGTCATTTTCCCCAATTTTCCTTTTCCCCTATCTGCCACTAAGTAGACAAGGTTCCTGTCTGGACACCTAGCCCCTCTTTTAGATATAGCTTTTCTCCCAAGCAACTCCAGAGAGAAAAGCCTTAAGTGCCCTGCTGATTATACGGCCACAACAGCTCAGGAGTGTGAGGCAACCAAGCCAGGAGTTAAGGCAGGCAAGAGCCAGAGATTGACACACTCAGCTGATTTAGGGATGAAGAACTAAATTGAAAGCTGGATTAAGAACCCTTGCAGAGAAAGACTTTTGTGAAGCCCTACCCAAGGCAGCACCAATGACAAAGCACCAAAGGGTCACATAATGCTCTTAGCGAACATGTTTTATTGCATGTCACACCCCTGTTCTGGAACATAAGTTCTTGGTAGCTGGTGATAGAATGAAAAGTCTCTGGACAGAGAGATCTGGAAAGCTTTGTGCTGAGGAAAAATTGCCCATTCAAACTGCTATTTGATTACTCGTTGCCTTTGGCAAGTTACATCATCTCCCTTTGGACCTTAGTTTCCCATATGTAAAATGAAAGGTTTAGATAAATGGTCCCTAAAGTCCTTTCTAGCTCTATATATTTACTATATAAATAAGGAGTCAAAGAGCCAAGCAGTTTTTTTTTTATTCTAAGCAAGGTATTAAATACTATATTCAACAAATATTAATCAAACACCTCCCACACGCTGGCCCATTACTAGGCATGAAGACTACAACCTTGGACAAAACAAGCACATTTCTTGCCCTTGTGGAGCTTATGGTCTGGAGTTTAAATAAACACAAGAAAATATAGCTGTTATTCTACAAAATCTTACTTCCTTAAGGAAGTAAGCTGTGAGCAGATCTGGAGGTTTGGTCATTTAAAGAGAGGGGGCAGGATATAGCCGACGGGAAGCCTTGTTAAAGCCCGGAGGCAGGAGAGAGTTTGAGGATCAGAGAGAAGCCAGTTGCCTTCTGCTCCGAAGCACATGTGCAGGGGAGTATGCCGCAGGGTGAGGTGGAGAGCCAGGGAAGGGCCGGGTAGTGCAAGGCCAAGTGGCTAGTTTAAAGATTTTATCCTTTGACTTGAGAGCAATTGAGGAGTGACTGAAAGGCTTAGGAAGATGAGTGACATGATTTATTTTTTCTGAGCCAACCAGGATAATGATCTTCTCTTGGAAAATGCTCTGTTGGTTGCTTGATATGAGAAGGGGAAACCCTGGTCTCTCTAATGACAAAGAAGTAAAGAGATCACTCACAAAGTAAAGAGATCACTCACAGTTTTACTATACAGAGATAACTCTGCTTAGTATAGTGCAAGTAATGGTTAATTAATTTTTCTCTCTCAGAATGTATATAGTAATTTAAAATTTTTGTACTACCTTTTTGATTACTTAGAATGTGTTGCACATTCACAGATGCTTGCTATATTATTTCTCCTTTATTTTTGTCTGGAAAACCAGGAGTTAAAAATAGAAATCGGTTCAACCTATTCTTTTTGAATAGCTCTGATGAAAGATTTCATCAGGTAGAGTCATCTATAAATTCAGTTGATATTCATGACTAGTATGTTTAGTTTGATCATCTTATACTTTTGTGGCAAATAGGGATCCACACCACCCATGACTGTGTTCAAGGGGAACAAACGGCCTTACCAGAAAGACTGTGTGCTTATTATTAATCATGACACTGGTGAATATGTGCTGGAAAAACTCAGTAGCAGCATTCAGGTGAAGAAAACAAGGTATGTGAATAGCCAGATGCAGGTTTATGTCATGTTTCCAAACCTCTGTTATCTATTCAGTTTTTATAAGGTGGTGAACATCTGCTTGCT